GTTCACTTCCACAAGATTTCCCCCTCGATACCATACAACTTTTATTTCAAACATTTTCTCCTATCTCCAAAACTGTGGGAGTTATTCGGGTGGCCTCTCTTAGATGCCTCACCCTGTATACAAGATGGATCACTAAAGGTGTTACAGGCTAATATTGCTGAAACTAAAAGAGATATGAAAAAATAGTTTATATCGACATGTTGAGTACAAAGAGGGACATCATATAGTGGAAACGATTATTTTATGAGTGGAGGCGTTGAGGACATTTCAAAGTCAACTTTATTTTTTTAAATAAAACCTTATCTTTTATTGCATATTCTTATAGTCCTTCTTGAGATTTTTCAAAACACTATAATAAAGTATTTTTTCATTAAGTACTTTTTGAGTTATTTTATATTTTAATCTGACATATTTTGATATAAAAATTAAAATATCTCGTAAAATATTTAGTTTTCGATAATCTTACCGTAATATTTTTATGTACAGAATAATGAGACAAATCAATTAGTGTAAAAAAAATAATTGTTTTTAAGAAAAAGTATGTAATTATTTATAATGTATTTTTTTAAACAATTATTTGGTTTTTTCTTTACACTGATTGATTTGTGTTATTATTCTGTACATAAAAGTATTACGGTAAGATTATCGAAAACTAAATATTTTACGAGATATTTTATTTTTTATATCAAAATATGTCAGATTAAAATATAAAATAACTGAAAAAGTAGTTAATGAAAAAATACTTTATTATGTTTCCTCAACATTTTACTCCGCTAACAAAGTTTAAGCTCGCTAAAGCAAGCGGGTTTTTTAATTTTGGCTTCCTCATAGATGAAGCTTTGTGAGCGAAATAGAAAAATAAAGAAGCAATGTGCTATTTTCTTATTTTGCACGCATTTTTTATTTTTGTATAACCGTTATATAAAATTTAAAGATCATATTTTAAAATTAGACAATAAAGCTTTAGGGAGCTTAAGCTTTATGAGCGAAATAAAAAGATAAAGAAGCAATATACTATTTTATAATTTGCACGCATTTTTTATGTTTATATAACGGTTATAGAAAATTTAGAAATCATATTTTAAAGTTAGACAATAAATAAAGTAATTTTATTTTAATACAAATTTAACATTTCTCAATATTTTTATTTATTGAAAAATTCAAAATTTCATAAAAAATAAATCTTTTCACCAATTCTCATCAAATGCAATACCAACCATCCTTTAATGATACTCTATTCATGTAAAAAAATTTAACTCGATATCTCAAAATTTGCGGAAGTTGGAGCAACCACACACTTTTTTGGAAAAATTCGAAATTTTATAAAAAATAGACCTCTTCACCGATTCTAGCCAAATTTAATAATAACCATCTTTTAATGATACTCTATTCATGTAAAAAAATTTAGCTCGATATCTCAAAATTTGCGGAAGTTAGAGCAACCACATCCTTTTTTTGAAAAATTTTATAAAAAAAATTTATAAACAATAAACCCCTTCACCGATTCTAGCCAAATTCAATACCAACCATCCTTTAATGATATTCTATCCATGTAAAAAAATTTAGCTCGATATCTCAAAATTTGCGAAAGTTAGAGCAACCACGTCCTTTTGATGCACATACACACATACATTTTTTAAAAACATGATTTTTTGACATTTTAAAACATTCGAAACACATTGGCATCAAAATCACAAAAAAACAATTTTTTCACGAAAACAAAGCTTCCTCTATGAGGAAGCAAAAATTTTGTTTCTCTAACTATACTTATTAATTACACGTAACAATAGCAACAGTAATGTCCAAAACTATTCCAGATTATGACTTTCTACTAATATTTAGTATTGATATACATTCTTAAAATTTCAAATTTTAATCTACAACAATTATCATTGTATTCATAAAAAGTACTTTTTTGACCGCATCTTTCAGGGACCTTTTATTTCAGAAATGGAGCATTTCCGGATACATGTTTATACGAACATTTTTTCTCATTTTGACCTGGGAAATCTCTGCTTAAATTTTTTTAAACATTTTTTTGGAACATCCTGCATATACCCTAATATACGTCTTGACACATGAATTTATACATATATCAAAGCATATGTCTCGATATGCGTCTAAATTCATATTCTGTATAGTTGATC